TTGAGAATAGCTACAAGCACTGGTTTTTGCATCTTGCCCACACTGTGAGTAGGATAACTTCATGCTGTCAGCTTAAATTGTCAGCTGTGTACACTCCATATCTACAGACAAGTAAGCATCAAAAATACGTGTTAAGTTGTTTACAGTAGCTGTCAAAAATCTGTTGCGGATCTCAGTCATTCGGATGAATGTGTTTTGTCCTGGTGGAAATTTACTGCTGAAATGTTCTTTATAAGGTATTTGTTATTTGAAAAGCCCTTTCAGCTGTGACTGAAATCTTGCACCGTCGAGTGGGCTGGGTGTCCTGAACCAAGCGTTAGTAAGTCTCTTAACTTTTCTTGTATGATTATCAGATTTACAAGAATTATTTTACCGCTTGCCTGTGCCATTTAAAAGGTTAATTTTGAACTAAGTAGGTACGTTGTTTATTTAAAAGAGGGTGTGTGCTAGTGCTGGACTTGAGAGGACTTCAATTTCACTGGGGTAAATTTTATCTCTGCAGTAGCAACAAAGAAATGAGGCTACATCAAGATGAACTGCCTGGATAAGTTTCTGTGTATCTTCTTCTTTTGAAGAATGAATTCTTCTGCTTTCCCTACTTTTATGGTTAAAGATTGTCTGTCATAATGCGTATGATGTTAAGGTAAAATGACAGACTAATCTAGCCATAATGGAACATGAAGAAGGAGCAAAATTGTCTGTCTTGAACATTTCCTCCGCTTTCATTTTAGGGAAATCTTCAGCTGGGTCAGCTTCCTGGGAGAGGGAGCGTGAGCCTGAAGCCTGGTCCATGCTGTAGTGTGACCACTCAGTGGTATTCTTGATGAACGAGTCTTGCGCATATCCATACTTAGTTTGAATTCTGAGGGTTTCCTGAAATAAAACCACACATGTTACGTTCTTGCTCTCTCTCCAGTATGCTCTTTTGCTACTTATTACAGGAGTCATGTTTCTATGGGCGCTGTGTATATGCATGTGGGTGTGTACGTATATGACCAGTTCTACAGAGGCAAACTTTCTGCCTTTGTAGCAGTCACTTTACTAGTTGGCTTTAATCCCCCTCCCTCCCAGTTATTTTTAAAACATGTAGTGAAAATCTCTCTCAATTGCCCACGTTGATGGTCTTGAAATTGTCGTCCTGGTATAACTAGCTAAAATTAGCCAAATGTTAACATTTCAGAAGGAAGTTTTGGGTATGTGGTGCAAACATAGCTGTGAAATTTCACAGAGGAAGTTGTCAAGGAAGTGTCTTTTATAGCCTGGTATTCAACTGCACTGAAAATATAGTGGCAAAACTCTGCTGTAGCTATGGTTCTTGTGAGCAGGTGTCCCACTACGATGGCCTGAACGACAGTGGCAGAGCATACGGACAAAAGTGTACCAGATGAAGTGAAGAAGCTGCTAAGAAGTTGTAGGAGTGCTTTGAGGCCCAGATGGACCTAGTGGGCAGCAAGTAGAATATAATATACTGTCCCCATTGATGTTTGCTTGCTTTGACTTTCTTCATAGCACTTGCCAAGTCATTTCCCCTCTCAAAACCTTGGCTGACTGCCTGCAGACAAGGAACAAAGAATTTCTGTTGGTTGATTTTTGAAGCATTTGCTGCCAGTGGTAGGCAAAACAAAGGGGAGGGGAGGAAGGAAAAGAGAGGCAAGCCAGGATACTTTACAGGAACCAAAAGGTATTCAGCAGACTCCTTAGGCTAATGCAGAGTAAGAAGAGTCATTGGCAGAAAATGCAAAATAAAAACAGTACAAATTGGGCTACATTCAAAATTGAAACAAGTCACCAGGATTTCTCAAATTCTGCAGTACTAAATGTCATGTAGCATTTGGGTGCTCAGATCACTTCAATCAGAGACACTGTAAACCTGATGGGTGGATCTTCAAGTCTAAACTTTTTTATTTCTTTCAATTCAAAGTCCACCTGCAATAAGTTGTTTGTGTGCTGTTCTCAGAGGCGTGTGGGAGATGAATCTGCTGCTTACCTTCTTACCCTTTCTTGAGTGCTGTTCTTTGTATTTGAGCCTAGCAGACATTAGTATTAATTCTTTCTATCAACAGATCAGTGCTGCAGTCTGAAAAGGGCTTCAGGCCATATCAGCATCCAGGTGTAGTATTTTGAAGGACTTTGTTGTGCCAGGCATCACTGAGGCTTTTGGCAATAGGATATCTTTTTTCTTTCCCCCCCCGGTAGTGGCATTTCTTCGTTGACCAGATTTTACACTGGCAGTAAAAGGAATACTTAATGTGCTGAGGGTTAGTCTTGTCAAAAACCAGCTCGAATGTGGTTTCATTTGTCTTGGGGCACACTTTGCTGGTAATTTTTTGCTACCTAGTAGAACATCCAGGTCTTTTATGGAGCTGTGCAGCTCTTTTCTGTCATAGTTTCTCAGATGGAGAAATATATATACGTATATATATAAATATATATATATAATTATTTTCTCCTGGTTCTCACCAGGAGTCGCAGTCCTGTTATAACAGGATGTACATAATTTCTCTGAGCATCAATTTGTCAACGGCACCCTGTGCAGACTTCTGTCCTGCTGCCAAGCAGATAGCCAGATAAAAACACAAAGAAACAGAATATCAGAAATCAGTTGTGATTTTCCTGTTCTGGAAAAGACTTGGTGTGTGGCTCCTGTGCTTCTGTGCTTATTTCTTTGTCCTCATCTCCGAAGATTAGTTGGTCGGTATGTACATTCAACTGCACTTCTGTGCTTTTTTGTGTCAGCCATTCTCTTCTTTAAGCTGCACAGTGACTGATCTGATAGGTCTCCAGATACCAAAGACACTGTTCTCAGTGTGATGTCTGTAGGTTAACTCACTATGATTTTGGAGATTTTCTGTTGGGAAGTCAGAAAAAAGGTTTTGGAGTTTGTAGAGATGAGGGATGGGTTCTAAATACATGTGTAAAAAAGAACTAATAGGATATTGTTGATGGAACCTTGGAAGCTTTTCCAGGAGTTTTGTTAGGCTCTGTGATTTGGTTTTCCAGAAAGGTACGTTGACTGTTTCAATGAGAGCATCATGAATTCTGTTTGCAGCTTGTTGTTTGTTAATATATCCCCACTGTACTGAGAAATGTTTGCTGCCATAAATCTAACAGAAATTTCTAGTACGGACTAGTAAATAATTTTAGTATGCTGGTTTAAAATCCCTGATGTTTTCAGAAAGTTGTTACACTTCCACTGAGACTGTAGTACAGTACTGTACAATTACTTCATAGTAACCATTAATCTCAGCTTTTATTGGTACTGTTCTAGTTTTTGTCTGCTCTCTGTTCTTTTGCAGCATTTTTCCCCTTCATCTGCCTGTAGTTGGATGCAGTCTTGTTGTTTCTATTTGGTGTTTCTTTTTTATGTCTTGATAAATCACTTTTTGTTTATACAATTAATGATAATTACAAAGCCAGACTTGCTTTGGAACTCACCGTGTCATGTTGTTGAGCGTAGTTTGTCAGTCAGACACAGAGAAGTATTATCACGGTATGTAATAGATTGAGTAAAATTGCTATTTATCAAGGTTACTTCCTTCATATATTAATTTGAGACCTATATAGATAAATCTCTGGGGAATTGCTTAGAAATTACTGCTTCAACACTTGGCATTCTGTCTTTCAAATTAGGTAACCAAAGGTGATTGAATCAGGCTATGTTAATAATACTTTTTTTGAGGGCATTTTTCCTGGCTTCATCCTGCAAAGGAATGTGATTTGGAGGCTTCTGTTCCAGCCCCTCCCTCTCCCCCGTATTTACACTGTTTATCTTTTTTGCTAAAGCTGCTCACCAGAAGCACCTGCTGGTTGCCCGCTCCTTTCTTGTGCCCTTGTGCTCAACTTCCTCTGTCCTGTCGTTCTTTCCAAGCCAGGCAGTACGGACCATCTCTGCTGCAGTTGCAACTTGCTGCTCTGATGTCGGTAACTGCTTTTTGCAGTTTTGTGAAGGGAGATCACTTGGACAGACAAGAGCAGTGATGGTGAATATGTACAGGTCTTTCATGAGCTGACTGACTAGCAGAACTGACTGTGCTGCGAGGTGAATTGTAACCCGTTAAGAAGTTGAGTGTGCCTTGTTTTCACAATACTCTTGTTGTTTAAGAGGATGTATGAGGTGTGCCTTTGTCTTGCAAATTGTTGCGTTTCTTGTGAGGACATGGTTGTCATCTGTGTTTTGCTAGGAATAAATAACGCAGAATGTAACTGCAGCACGATTCAGCTATCATGGTTTTAAGTATGGCTTGGTTTCCATGGAGCAGTCAGTATTAAGATTGAAGTCTAATGCTATTGTTTAAGTAGCATCAGAGAGTAGAGCTTTGCTTTATTACAGAGCATACAATGGATTTCACCTGGCATTTTCTTTGGTCCCTATTTCTTTCGTTTCACACACTCATGATACAATTGATGTGGTGACTTCAGAGCCAGCACACAATTGAGAGGATAGAGGTGTGATTTATTTTGGAGAGGACGAAGTCCTTAGTTCACTGTTTTCATTGTGAGATATGTCACTGTTGTATCATCACTGGATGATGTTAAATCGACACTGACAGGCTTTGACAATAGATTTCTTAAACTGTGGTGGCGACAGTGAGCAAACCCGAACTCTGTGTTGTAAAAGTGAAACCAAGTCTCTGTTCTGAAATTCGCTGTAGTTTCAAGCTCTCCTGTTGCCTCTGCCTTGGGATAATCATTTGGAAAATAATTCAAATATTCACTTTGGCTTCAGTGATCTTAGAAAAATTGCCTCTTGAAACACTCATCTTTGCCTGCCTGTTTATTATCTGGAAGATGCTCATTTCTGCATGGTTCCTGGACTTGCCATTTTGCCTGTGTAGTTGCTTTTTTGTTTCGTTTTGTCCTCCTCCTCCATGGAATTTCAAGATTTGTCTCGTCCGTACTTCTGTCTTCACGGTCGGCTTCACTTTGTCTTCAGCAAGGGATGGCAGGAGCTCCAACAGTGTGTAATTCTGTTCTTTTTTCCTGTTGTTTTTATGGCAAAGGAGGTCATTGCAGAAATCACTTCAGCTGAGGCTGGGAGAGCAGTAAGCCTGGGTTCCCACACAGGCTGAGTCACTGTGAAGAAGGAAGTCTCAGCTGCTTTTTTTTCCCCTTTTCAGCAGGAAGTAGTAGGTAAGGAGGAATTGAGAGAATGAGAGGAAAAATCACAGGGAACGATGTTAGTTGTTTGTACAAGTGTGCTGTTAATTCATTAGATGTTACCTCTGTATTATTGAAAAGAAAAGAATCCGTTCTGAGTCCAATTGTTTTAAACTATAATGCTCATGCTCCAGAAGTACCAACCTTTCAGGTCAACAAGAGATTCAAGGTTTTTCCAGTCCTTTTTATTTATTGTGCTATTTTCTTCCTAATGTCTGCTGCTGCTGCTCAGAAGACATTTTTTTTTTTCCTACCTGCAGATCACTTGAGTGATTGGCTTGCTTGCCTTTTTTCATTCTGCTCTGTGTTCATCTTGGAAGGTTTTTGCTGAGTGTGTGTTACAGGTCACTGGAAGCACCTATTTCTCAAAGGAGTAAGAGGCCACATCTCCAGAGCTCTGAAATAACACTGGAATTCATATGAGGGTGAAAGGCCTCTTAAAAATGCCTTTATAACAGAGGTAAAGTGACAGCTGCAAATAATTGCATTCGTTCTGGTAAACCTCACTCCCTGTTTCTTTCTCTGGGTTACTGGTGTGATGTTACGCCATTTGCCCAGCAGGTTGAGGCTGCTAGTTTCAGTGGTCAGTGTGTGCACTGTGAATCAAATGCATGTGACAGGGGCCCACTCTGTAGTTCCCACTGCTCTTTGGCAAGAGTTTATTCAATCTGTTCATCTTGGCCAGGGTTCTTATCTTGGCTTGTGGTGTTACTTACAGTGTGATAGCAGTGTTATTGCTACTCCAAAGCTCTCTAGTGATACTGTCTAGTAAAGTGGTTCAGGATGAGACTTGAGTGGGGATCTGTGGGAGCGGAACTTCATGAAAATTCTGCAAGAATTATTTCAAACAGAACAAAAAAAAAAAAATCAGGTATGCACACTTCAGACTTTCAAGAAGGGGGAGTGGAACTTCTGGTCTTCCTCTTTGAGGGAGGTATTGTTTGTTTTGAGTCATCACATGAGTGCACTACTGTGGTGCATCCTGTGTAAATGTTTTCCATTGTGTTGGATGCTATCCTGGGATTATGTATCTGCCTAGCAGCATAGGTGCAGTAACCTATTCCTGATTTGCAGGGTTCTGTTTGCCTCTTATTTCAGTACATCTACATCAAAAGTAAGATTTTGTGTACTGACAGTTTATCCTCGTGCAATGCCTTGTGACTTCTCAGCAACTTTGTTCTCCAAGTCCTCATATTGCCCCTGGTTGGGGTTTAGAGTTTTCAGAGTAATGTTGATGTATTAGCTAAGAATGAAGGTTTAGAAGCAATCTGCACAACTCAGAGCACTGCTGATGGTAACACTTCAATTTGCTGTCGGCTGTGGTTTGTTGGTATTAGGCCAGTTGCAGTACTGAGTAGAGGTGATGAACATACCGTGGAGACTGAGTTCAGTGTAGGTGAGTGCTCAGCAGGATGAGGACTGCAGTCTCAATATTCTGAGCTAACGTTGTCTGTTCAAAACAAAGACTGAAGTATCAGTAAAGGAGGTTTGGTGATGAACGTGTATCTACGGTCAGAAAACTACTTGTGTCAGATTACGTGTGGGAGAGAATGGAGAGTAACGTGAAAATGCAGTTATGTAGAATCAGTTGCTTTTTGCATACTTAAATGATGGGAATTTCAATTATTGATGCTTTTTTGAGAGGAAGTTTGAGTTAGCTGGGAGATGAGAAATGATGACTGGGTTATTTGAAGAGGAAAAATGAGTAAGAACACAAATTGTGGGTATGCAAATGTGATCAATCTGTAGCGTGTCCACCATAGCATAAGAAGAATGAATTATTTCAGTGAGGTTCTTAAGTTTTTTTTTTTTTTTTTTTAAACTACTGTGTTCAAATCAATTTGGGGGCATTCAAATGTAATAAAGTGGATTTGGATTGTGTGATTTCCTCTAACAGTGGCTTTAAAACTGAAAATGTATTTCATTTTGGCTCAAAGAGATCAATTTCAACTACTATATGGGAAAATTAAGGTCTTTTAGTGCTGCACTTTGTCTTGTTTGATTGATTTTTTTTTTTTTTTTTTCTTCTAATACAGGGCTCCTAAAAGATGTCTGGCTTGTTTTACTTCAAACTGTCTGGCTATTTGCTGTTTAGCTGCTGAAGTTTTCCTACTGCTTGTTCTCCTGAATCCTTAATATATCAAGTTGTCAGAAGTGGCTGCTATGGTAAGTTTTCTTTTTTTTTTTTTTTTTTTTTTAATAGTAGTAGCAAGCGGCTAGAAGTGTGTCCAGTGTGCATCTCTGTTTTGGTTTTATTTATGAGCAAGGCACCAAAAAGGGCAAAAAACCCCAAAACTGGAACACAACAGTACTGTACAAAAGCAGATGGCAACCAACTTGGAGCTAACAAGCCAAGAAGCCTTGTTTTATCTCTTTATATTGCCCAGTGCTTCTACATGAATAATAAAGATCAAGTGAATCATTTCAGAAGTCAATTCTACATGTTGCATTTGGGCTTACTAGTTCAAAGTACAGTATTTAAAATATTTAAGGTAACTTGTAAAAGCACAGAAGTTTTGAAGAACAAAAATAGAAAAAGAGGAAGCCCTATAACAGCAGATGAGACAGAAGGATGACCGTACCTCCGAGCAGATACAAATCTGCAGCTCTGTTCTATGTTCTGCTGTAGTATTGCATTTGGAAAATTGTGTTTGTCATTGATCTCAACAACTACAGCAATTTTGAGTAACTAAGTAATGTTTTACAAATTTCAGGAATCAAGACCAGCTAAACTAAGAAGATGTATTCAAGATGATCCAGCCAGAAGACTTCTTACTTTATAGAAATTCTGATTTCATTTAATATGTAATATCACTTGACTAACCTAGGTTCAGTTATTCTTCTTGAAAGTAAGACACCTGTGGCCTTCATCAGAAATGTTTCTAACATTTTCAAGAAAAAACATGTCCCAGAAACTAAGCATGTTTTTGCTGGTTTTTGGAATCATTTGGGGTTTGATGTTGCTACGCTACACTTTCCAGTATCCAAGACGTCAAAGCAGTGCTGAGCTGCGTGGTCAGATATTAGACCTAAGTAAAAGATATGTCAAAGCACTGGCAGAAGAAAATAAGAACTTAATGAATGGTGGCAGCGGAGCCTCTGTAGCAGGATATGGTAAGAGGGGGAAAAAAAGCATCATAATTGTTCAGATAACTTTTTAAGTGGAATCCATGAGGTTGTACTTCTTGAAGCAATATATGGTGATTGCTCTTTAAGAGAAAATATCTCTCTGTACTGATTATTTTGGTTTTAGTACCAGGTAAGTTTAAATGTCATCTTTGTCCCAAATTTGAGAGAAGATAGTGGTGCGGTGTGCTTTATAGCTTATGTAGGTGTATATGATATATTTTAACAGCAGATTTTCTGTCACTTGGAGGAAAGTGTTTAATAACTACTCTTTTATATTGGAAGGTATTTAAAAATATTCTATCACTGTCCAAAGCTGAATGGTGACACGTGGATATTATCTGGGTGAAATTTGAAATCCTGCCTTTGAAGAATCACCACCCTTCTGTTTGAACTTGAAGTTTTGTTCTTAGATTCTTAATATTTAGCTGGCTTGCTTTACTTCTTAGTATTATGAGGGTATCTTCCTAAAGTAACGAAGAAATTGTATTTAAAACAAACAAACACAAAAACTTGTAATTCTCCCACCCCTCAGTCTTTTTGAAATAGAATATTACACAGGATAACAATCTAAGATCTGAACATTTTGAAATAGTTATTTTCTGCACGCAATAGATAACAGGAGTTTGTTTCATTGCCTTTCAGCTGATCTTAAGAGGACGATTGCTGTTCTTCTGGATGACATCTTACAGCGACTTGTGAAATTGGAAAACAAAGTGGATTACATCACAGTGAATGGTTCAGCAACAAATACCACTAATGGAACTAGCAACCAAGTATCAGTAAATTCAATTAAACGTGCAAAAGCAGCTGGCAACATTAGATAGCAAAGCAGGCTGTGTTGTGTTGCTACATGTATGATAGGTCGTAATTAAGACAAGCTTTATCTCTGGCTGGGGCAAAGCAGTAGCTGACTCTAAATGAAGCATACGCTGTTCTGTTGAAGAATGCCTGGATATGTGTGTATATATATAGGCCTAACTTATGTGCATAAGGTTCTTAAAGCACTATTTCATTGCCTTTGAGCAGTGCTTCTAAAGCGATCCTTGTTGTCTTTAAAAATACTTTGATATCATGATTTGATGTAGTATGCCCTTGGATAATAACAATAAATGGACAGCAATGAGGTACTTAGAGGTAGGTTTATAAAAGTATTTAATTAAGTATAAATATAGCATATCTTTTGGGTAGGTGAGCAGCGTTGTAGCTTATTCATTTTTGTGATCTGCATTAAACAGGTAACTGAGGAGAACATCGTTAAACAGATGTTAGAAAGCGTGTATACTTAACAGTATTTTGTTACTCATTTGCTAAAATATTGAATTGAGGATAGCGCTTTGGGGGGGATAGCGTTTTAGAATTGTGACCCAAAGAATGTCTTTATTTGCACTATCAGAATAGCTAGAGAGAATTTACTGTATATTTAAGAAAATTAGTTACAATAGGAAAGCATCCCAGGTAGTTACACTGTCCAGGTGTATCCGTGTGTCACAATTAAGGCAGTTAGATTACGAGAAGCAAACATAACCTGTGATATCTTACAGTTGTTTCTTACTCAGATATTTAAGTGTATGTATTTTTTAACTGCAGATGAAACTATTTAAGTGATGGAAATAAGTTTTAGATATGTGAATACTGTTTATTTTTATTCACTGCTGTTTCTTTTTAACTCGTGAGTAACTTGTGATTTGTGATGAGAATAGCACACCAGCTCCCTGAAATGCTTCCTTATCAGGAGGGAGAGCAGCGAAGGGAGACGAGGCATCTCTGCCTTTAATAGAGATATGTACTAAAGGTGTCTTACCATGGAATATTTCAGAGCTAAGGTAATGTTTGCCTTATGTCTACGTTAGCCTTATAGCAAAGCGAATTGCAGTGTGGATGCGCTGTATTCCAAATGTTACTGAAGTCATATTCAAGTGCCACTGAGCCTGCTTTTTTAAAATGTAGTGAATGGTGAATGTTTTGCAGGGAGGGGAAGGGTATGTTCAGGGACTTTTGCCAAAAATGTGCTAGTTATTTATCTTTTAATGTGATGGGTCTTTTTCTTTCCTTTTTTTTTTTTTTTTTTTTTTTTTTTTTTTTTTTT